CCAGTGGATGTCCCAGTTTTATGGCAATCATCTGTATACTGCCTCTTCTCCTCACCATGGCTGAGAGGGAAAAAGAACCCTAGTTCAGACAGGAGAGCTGTGAATCTCCGTCACCTCACAGGGTGTCCCTCTTTGCTTCACCATCCCTACAGGGCAGCTTTGGATCCTTTTGAAGCCCACCAATGGAGGGAAGTCAGCACGGGAGCATAGAGACCTGCTCCACATGTTTGATATTTCTGGAACATCCACTGGAAGTCACCAGATATATATTGTATTCAATATATTTAAAATTGGTTGGTTTTATTCCTCCATTTTAACTTCACTTGAATCATAAATATGAGAAGTTTGTGATTTGTTATACATAGGTCATGGTTACATCTTTGCTATTACTATATAACCAAACTCTTCCTTGTATCAATTTTATTTTATTTCTGTGTGTTCCATCCATGTATCTAGACATTGGTTTGGTTGTTTGAAGACTATGTTAGCATAAAAGCAAAATTGGATTGAAAGATTCTGATAAATCATTATTCTGTTTCATTAGCCACGTAGTATAGTTACATTTTGATCCTTACTGTTTCCATCCTTGGCTTTCCAGTCTCCATCCTCAACAGCACATACTGGCATATTATGTTGGTTTCAAATTAAAACCAGCCATAAAACTATTCAAATTCCTTTTATTTTGCCTCAGTGGTTGTAGCATCAACTTAAATAAGAATAGTAAAGTGATATCCAGAAATTTTGGTGATATTATTCAATCATTGATTACACCACATCCAAGTACAGTACTCCAATAATTTCATAGTTGTCCTATGAAAGCAATACAATTCCCTTCTTTGTTTTTCATGCCCTGAATAGTGATCAGCATAATCTTATGGAAAGTGTCCAATGCCAATCCATTTCAATTGGATGGTATCCAAAATTTCAATCTTTAGTTGATTCATTTCATCTTTCGTTGCATTGAATTTTTCAGTGTCCATGCTACTTCTGTCCATATTCCTATGGTAATTCTGTCTTTACAGTTTGGGGCTTTCTTTTCTTACACTGTAACATTAGCAACTAGACAAATGGAAGGCTTTTATTTGCATCACAAACACCATTAGGTTTCTAAAGATCTACAATTCTTCCTCAGTGTTGAGTGCC